CCCGCTCATTTGCACCCTGTGTCATACTGTTTCCAGACTTGTTTTGTCTGTGTGTGCTTGGGTCAACTGAGTGCGCGAACCCCGTTCTGTTTGGGTGTTCTTCATAATTATGTTTTCACTACTCTGTATTCACCAAAAGGAGTTGCTTTCCTTCAGTCAACACTTCTTATTTAGAGCTGCTAAAACGGCATAGTCCTTCTCCCTTGGCACCTAGCCTGCATTTCATGTATAAGTGTATTTTAAGCTATCCGGCGCTACAGAAGTTAGCAGTCCTCTCGAGTACGAAGGCAGGGAATCAAATGGGGATCTGGTTGAGTGCAGAGGGTCCCAACTCGTCTTAGTTGCTTGCAATAGTCTGTTCCCAGAAGAAAGCTGAATAAGAAGTCTATGAACATAGTGAAATGCGATAGTACCATCAGATTCGGGTTTTCATTCAGTTAAACTACGGGCTATTTACTTGTGTACGCCCAACTCGCGTCTGTACGCAAACCGTGTGAATACAAACGCTCCGTCATCCTGGATAAAAACGTGCAGATCTTCATAACTTGCCCCTTACTTTTAGGGCTACACTGCTCAAGGCCTGTAGTTAATCCTGGTTTCTACGTTGGTATCGCATGCCCGGTCTCGGTGATCTGGGACCAAAATCCTGGATCAAATGGCTAGGTAGTGCTGAGTCCACAGAACAATCGATGGACTCTCTATTTTCTGCAGCCACCTCGAGCTAGCAGGGGTTTGGTTTCCAGGCGCGTGCATTCTGTTAGTGGGTTTTCGCTTATTTACTATATTTCAAGCCCAATTCATACAGCCGTTGCGCGCACCTCTAGCATCCGAGAACGTTAGCTAGTGGTCCAGATGTAGAGGTTCCGCACGTTATCACAAGATGCTAACATTTTGCAGACATTGGGCCGAACAGCAGAACGTCAGTTATTTGTACATATGTGGTGGAAAAGGGCATCCGGCCAAGTTGTAGGTTTGCGTCTTGCGAATGCGATCGTAATGATATTCTTTATGAAATGTAGTAATACTATAAGTACAGGCTACTACTGCCTAGTTCTAGGAGATTTACAGTTAGGGATACAAATAAAGACAGCATATACTGGGGGAGGGGGTTATTTCTGGCTGATTAGACCTCGTCAGTCACCCCTAACCGCCCACATTAACTGCGATTTGCAACCGACTTCGTTGGCCGTCGAACGTCAAGTCCAGTACGTTACCACTGCGCCATGGGTCCATTGTTTTGTCAGCTGGCGCCGAAAATATTAACTATGCCTGCTCTGGTCAGAGGT